CTTCGTAAAATTACGGTTGAACCACTGATGTCACATGGATTATTTTAACGATCTCCTTGCTACGTTTCTGAGCCTTGATCGTGTAAGGATCCTTGCTGTCTATGAGGGTCAGAGAGCTCTCGGAATGCATCAAAAATACCTTAATTTGTGTTCCGAAGATGAACGAAGGTCTTACGGGTTTGGAACGACATGAGGGTGAGTAATTAATGACATCATTTTCATTTTTGGGTGAACTATCCCTTTAACTGCTTTCTGAACAAGCAATGGGCTGCTGCAGCTTCAAAAGTACAGCAAACTAGGTTTAAGAGAGATCAGATGCCCACCTTCTTGCAGGTGACCAGGTGTTTAGTGAAGGTGGAGCTCAGCAGGCAAGACAGCACCCTATCTAAGCCAGTCTTGAGCTCCTGGTCAAGCAGTTCCCTCCAACCTGCTCCATTAACGTCCTCTCTATCGGGCAGCTCTTGTAAGCACGGCTGACAGGAGTACACCACGCTCTCAGGCAGACTCGACAAGATTTCATATAAGTCATCTGGGAGAAAACACACAAATTGAAGGAGTCAGCTGCAGATGCGAGTGGTAGATTTCATACTGCTGATTCAGCCTGTAAATTCTGTTAGCAAAAAATTCACATTATTTCTCAATTACTTCTGCATTATATTGACAAAGGGTCATGTTTTCTCATAAGGAGAATGCTCAATTAAACAAACAACATGGGGATGACATTCTGGGTTAGGACAATCACGCAACTGTCTGAACATCCATTACGTATAGCATGAAAAAAATGTGCAATTGGTGAGAAAGTTCCAGTGTATATGTCTTGTATGTATTGGGAAATAAGAGGCTTGCAAAAATGTCACGCCTGTAAACACAGTAGTTTAATAAAAACTAAAACGGTGGAAGGAAAAAGTAATTTTTAATTTATGTTTTCTCTGTGGATACAAAGTAATGCTTTCATATTACAGGCACAAAAAATATATATATATTTACAAAACCAATGGTATCTGCAGCTTACTTTTTTGGGAATTTGTTTCAAAGTGTCATTGAAATGAAAGCCAAAAAGAGAGCATGATAAATGTAAATGGCATGTTAAAATCTAGTATTGTATTTAATGGATAAAATAAGATAAAAAGACCTAAATAAATAAATCAAATCCAATTGGCCATAACATTCTGTCACTCACCTGTCAGACCTTCACATTTAGCATGGACCCAGTGGCTACACGAGGAGCACTGCATCATCTGGCTATCATAGTCATTATCTTCATAACACTTGAAGCACATGGTGCAGTAGTTACCTACAAACACATACACACAAAGTTGTTAACTGACTGGGAAGGCATGTTTGGCTGAAATGGTGTTTTCATAGAAAGGGTATTAACTGAAAGGTCAGTGTGGCAGGAAAATAAAATGACCGCTGTAATTTAAAGTTGTAAAGTTTCATGTGATCGTGGCAACTGAGAGTATCTAAAGCATTTCATTTGCTATTTCAACCTAAACCCACTTACAACTCACACTCTGGGACATGTCATTCCTTTTAAAGCATTATGTGTGACAAAATTATGTTATATCATTATATGTATGTATCTGCTACACAAACACACACATTACAGAAAATTATAACATTTTAACATTTTGCACTAGCATATGAACAGAAAAATATTAGTTATGCACGAAATGAAAAACATCATCACTGTTGAAACAGCTGCAGAGCCTAGGCAAATAGGAACTAAAGTCATTTTCTTATGCCAAAAAGAAAAGAAACATCAACCCAAAAAAAAAAAAAAAAAACTATTTCTGAAAAGCACAGTATTAGTTGGGCTTTCATTGATGGTCCTTGAGCTTGAGCTAATCTGACTGGATGGGTACTCTTATGTAACATCCTCTTTATCGAACATTGATGAAGAATGCTGGAACACCTGGAAATGCATTTTTATTAACATGATTTATTATATGCCTGTCAGATAGTCAGACCCTCTAAGTCTCACCTTGATCAAACAGCCTAGTGCAGTCAGGACACAGCCCCTTGTCATGATTCCACTCGGTGTCCCAGCTCTTTCCTGGGGTCACACCACAACTCTTGCACCGGATGCATGTCATACAGACCTGAAAAAAATGAGTTCATTTGTGGCTTAACTGAAGTTACAATACAAACACGAATTTGCTATTTTGCAGCTTTAATGTCTTGTTTTTGCCTGATCCTAACAGATGTTCCCCATTTTTTTGTTGTTGTTGCTTTGACATTTATTAACATATCATGGCAGCTGAGACAGCAAAGCATACTGAAACTTCTTTGTAGGTCTTGCACGCTGAAGAAAGTATCACTGTGGTCAACTTACCCAAGGCTTTTTACGTTTGTTGGGTTTGGGATAGCTGGGACCCAGACAGGCAGGATGATAACAATTTTGACACCTTTCACACTCCAACAGCGGCTGCACAGAGATCAAGCACAAAAAAATAAAAATTGACCAGTGCCAAAGCCGTAAAAAACATGTTTCCTTTAAATAATAACAAATATTTCCCTTAAACCTACAGTGATGACAAGAAAAAATATACACACTACCGTTCAAAAGTGTAAAGTCAGTAAGATCTTTTCCCAAAATAAATAAATACTTTTATTCAGCAAAGACACATTAAACTGACCAAAATTGACAGAAAGTTAAAGACATCTATTATGTTACAAAATATTTCTATTTCAAATAAATGCTGTTCTTTCGAACTTTCTATTTGACAAACAGAAAAGTACCACAATTTCCACAAAAACATTAAGCAGCACAACTGTTTTCAACTGCTTCTGAAAATTCAGCTTTGGCATCACAGTAATAAATTACATTTTAAAATATTTTCAAAAGAGAACTGTAATAGCGTTATATAGTTTGAATGGTAGTTTATGTCACAAAATGTTCATAATTCTGCTCTACACTCCTGAAGAACTTCAGACAATCCCATCTTCTTATTATTATTAGGTTAATACATTCGGATTAGAGTTAGGCGTCAAAATCACATTTTGAAACGTCGCAAACTACCTTGGATTCTTTATTCTTGCGTCCACAAACTCGGCAGAACTTGCAGCGACGACAGCACCAGTTCTCCTTGTTCTCCTCCAGAGGGCGCTCTGAAGGGTCCAAGCAGAAGCGATGGAAAGGCTCACAGCAGACTTGACAATACAGCATCTGCAAAACACATGGTTGTCATGATGAACAAAATAATCCAGGTTTCGATTTGACAAGCAATACCAGTGAAACTTTCCCATTATTGTAACCATTTCCGAAAACCTACAATTTATTTTAATTTACTTTTATTTTCAGATGTTTTTAAGGCAATGCTGTAATGAAGAGCAGTCAGGACGTACCTCATGTTGGCCTTTACTGGCACACAGCAGGCAAACATACTGGGGCACGAGGGGTACAGAAGAGAGGATGCTCAAACCTCCTGTCGCCCACACGCTCTGGACACTACAGTCCTCCTGTGGAGGGAGACAGAGTGGAGTAAGGAACATTTTAGCTGCATGCTAGTTTCACCTCAAGATAAAGGACCACAAATAACTCTGTTTGAATTCAAATAGAAGATGTGAAAACTATGTAAGATTTAATGCACAACACAAATACAAATCTAAACATGGACATCAATGAGCTTCTTTGTCTGCAAACATTTTATTTGAAGAGAAATACGCATTGGGTCCAAAAGTCTGAGCACACAGAACAAACTGGATTCAAAATCAAATTTAATCCTGGAATGCAAACCTGTTATGATTTTTAATTTTTAAAGGATGCATTAAATTGATCAAAAGTGACAGTAAAGACATTTATAATGTTACAAAAGATTTAGATTTTTTTGCTTTTCTATTCATCAAAAAAAGTTAGCACAATTTCCACAACTATTTTCAACATTGATAATAATAATAAAAAAATATTTGTTGAGCAGCAAATTAGCATATTAGAATGATTTCTGAATGATCATGTGACACTGAAGACTGGAGTAATGGTTGCTGAAAATTTAGCTTTGCATCACAGGAATAAATTGCATTTGAAATATTAAAATAGAAAATGGTGATAAATTATATTATTTCACAATATTTTACTCTATTATTGATCAAATAAATGCAACCTTGTTAAGAATAAGAGACTTCTTTCAAAAACATTAAAAATATCTTAATGTATCAAGACTATTTTGCTGGGTAAACCTGGTCTATCCATAACAGAATCAGGTGCTGCCATCATGTGGCAAACCACTGCAGTGCTGAACATCAGTGTAGATTTCAAATGAAATATCAGCCAGTCCCTCAACATGAAAACATCTTTGGAGAGCCACTTGACTTTCATGCTCAGTTTTGTAAAAGAATTAGTGCTGTCAAACGATTAATTGCGATTAATCGCATCCAAAATAAAAGTTTTTGTTTACATAATATATGTGTGTATACTGTGTATATTTATTGTGTATATATAAAAGACACACACACACACACACACACACACACACAGCATATATTTTGAAAATATTTACGTGTATATATTTATATAAATTATATCATATATGTTATATATATCACATATGTTTTTCTTAAATATATACATGCATGTGTGTTTATTTATATATACATAATAAATATACACAACACACACACATATATTATGTAAACAAAAACTTTTGTTTTGGATGCGACTAATCATGATTAATCGTTTTGACAGCACTAAAAAAAATATAGACATTTACCTTAAAATCAACACAGATCTTGTATGTGGGTTCTGCAGGCTGCTGTTCTCTCTCTGCAAAACCATTGGCGAGGGCTGCAAGGACGCTGGGCGGTGTCTGTTCCTGAGGGCTCTGCAAACAAAGGAACGATGGAAGTTGCTTTCGCTGCTTCGACGACATTTTGGCTAAATGAGGACAGTTTTGAGCGGGTCAACAGATATCAACAATCATAATACCTTCTCAACTTTCCGTTTGATGGGTGGAACCTTGTGGAAGCTAGGCCTGCGATGCCGCACTCCCTCGTCAAAGGCATCGCCGACGAAGTCGTCAAATGACAGAAAATCTGTGGCGCATTTAATACAAACAGAATTGTGACTTTGACAGGAATGATTCATGTAAATTACTTGTGAAACAAACAAGATTCTATTTTCAATTGTATTTAAAAAAAAACTGAACCAGTTTTGAATAAAACAAGTTCTACGTTTCCAATCACTGTGGTATGGTAGCTTGTAGGGCTGTCAAAATGGCTGAAAAACTAAATTCGAATTATATTCAAATTTAAAGGGGTCATATGATGCTGCTAAAAAGAACATTATTTGGTGTATTTGGTGTAATGAAATATGTTTATGCGGTTTAAAGTTCAAAAAACACATTATTTTCCACATACTGTACATTATTGTTTCTCCTCTATGCCCCGCCTTTTTGAAACGCGTCGATTTTTACAAAGCTCATCAGTCTGAAAA